AGTGGAGGGTACGGGGTTGATGGTGAGCTTCGAGCAAGAAGACTTTGTGTAAAGTAGGCGAAACGACTAACCTTGCGGCCAGCATAAAGACCCGGAGGATTCTGAGTAGCAAACACGCGGAAGTGAGGATGAGCACGCACCATCTCCTGTGTTTCGGTAATAAAGAGCTCCCGATTCTCATCCAAAACCTAGGCAAAAGAGAAAATGCGTTGATATAACTTGCACCGGGATAACAACAGAGGGGGGGGCATATTCGGTTTGATTAAGGCCAATCAAAGGTTAACTCACCCGATTGAGTGCTTCCAGGATCTCCGTGGGTGCCAGATTGAGTTCATCCAGGATGATCCAATGGCCCTTCCTCATGGCCTGGACAAATATACCCTCCTGGAAGACAAGAGGTCTGGCCGACTGAATGTCGTCACGACTAGACATGGCGTTTTCCGAGACGGATGAAGCAGTGTAGGCGCCCAAGTAGGTCTGTAGGTCGGTGTGTTCGTGGTTGTTGATTCGGTGACACACCTGACCTATACGCTCGGCCAGGTAGGTGATGAGTGAGGTCTTCCCTACCGAGGTTTCTCCTTGAAGCAGAACCGGAAGACTTCCACTGAAAGACAGGTATTGAGAGAACAGGGCTTGTCAGACATAAAAACAGGAACGCACAACTAAACGCTTTTTTAAAAACAGTCACACCTGAACCAGGTTAACAAATTTTGCAGTCGTTAGACGCAGTCATGCACATTACCATGAAAAGTAAGCCAAATGAGATGACATGGCGATACGTGATAAGCAAAAAAACGTTTATGGCTCAGTCTATATTCTCGCATATTTTAGTTAACAACAGGCGACCTCACAAAACTTCTGAGGCTCGCAAATACCGTTTCCCTAGGATTACTAAAGTAGTTAACCTGGTCGATAGAACAGTGACAACTTAAATCTCCGGTGCAGACGCGCAAAGGGCTCTGTTGGTTATCAAAACGCTAAGTAGAGCACTGTCACTACGACAGGCCACAAGTACAACGGGTGAAAGTCCCCAAAAAGGCAACTCAGGGCATCTCCGTGGTGCGCAATGGCGAGAGCAGAAAGCAGGAGCTGTGAGACTACTGCCATGCCATACTCTTCAAACTGTCATTAAAAGCGTGTTGTGACTGACTGACTGTGCGGGCTTTGGATCCTAAGTTTCTGGGCGAGAAAACCTGGTCGAAGATATATGCAAATGGGACCTTTTCGCGTGCGTTCTAGTAGGTCATGGTTTTGGGCAAGCTGTCCATAATGAGAATGTTTTGAAGAAAATATACACTGAGAGCAAAAAATGACAAGAACGATGCCCACTTTTGGCCCAACAAATTCCGGTTATGCATCATCATTCCTAAATTATGGTCACTCTGTCCAATCTACTTGAGGTTCACAGATAAGCGTCGCTAGGCTGGGAAATAGAAGTTGCTGATAGGTTTCACAGTTATTTAACATGTTGCTGCACAAATTTTACACGGAGAAACAACTACTCGAGGGCATACTACATAACGTCATCAGATAACATTGCGAAAAACTACTGTAAGTGCCTGCAGTTAACATCTCAGCCGCTGGGGTACAGGCTCCCAGATTACTAGGAAGACCAACGCACTTCTAACAAGGTTCGATTAGTTTATTGTGAGGTAGAATATCAGATCTTACTCGGCAAGCGAAGTGGACTGGGCTGTAACTAATTAACATCAGTAATCAAGTCAGAAACGATCGTTTTGGTCTGCCT